GGCGTTTTCTCTTGGTAGTTCCTTCCCTTCCTTCTTGTTGAGGGAACATGTTCTATACGTGAGTGAGACCGGGAATGACTGCTGATTATGAGTGATGGTCCCGAGGCTGGCATGGGCAGAGTTTCTTTCACCCTATGCCCCCGTTACCTAGCAGTAAAATAAGTACCTGGGTGTTAGTCAGCTGTCACGGGCTGCTTCCTGAGGGGTGGAGGCCTGGTCGTGGACCGGGCCGCGGGGACACTAAAAAGCCCCGAAATCATCTCAAGATAACCCTCCACGAGGCTGTTAACGGTTGAGTGCCTCGTTATGTTGTAGCCATCTTCCAATTGGCCACAATGTTGGGGGCAGGTGTTGTTAACGATGTAGGTTAGCTTAGCATTTTAAAAGCACCGAATCACCTTCTGTGGTTGATTGTTCAATAAACCCCTGAACTATATGTTTAACACTTCTCTAACCCTGTCCATGGAGGACAGAAGAAAATGTATATATGCTGATTAGCATTGTAAATGTCTGGCCACGTCTGTGGTAAAAATAATAATAATAATAATAATAATAATAATAATAATAATAATAAAAACCCGATGGCTGCCTCCCCGCCCGTCTTCCTAACTACTGGAATGAACACAGCTGCACCAGGATCCCCAAGATCCAAGACAGATCTTGCCTAATTGGTTTATAATTTCTACCCCACAAGTGACCATTCAGCTTGAACCACTTCAAGTGCGCAATATCGTATGTGCAATATAAAAATAATTTAGAAAAATTTTTTTTTTTTTTAAGTTGTGAAGACCAAATATATTGGATATACATTATTTCACATGGAACAAAACATGAATTTAATTTATTGCTAATCCTGAAATTTGAAGGGAAGAGTTTTCCCTTTATTTTGATTTGTCATAAAATTATAGGAGAATCTTAGCTATTTTTCGCTACCAAAAAAATGGTGTATATTATTTATTTTGTATAAAAGTATGAATCTCGTCATGTTCTCACAATCTTCAAATTTATGACGTAATAACAAGGTCTCATGGTACAGATGGCTCCGTTCTCAACTCACAATCAGAGATCACGGGTTCGATTCCCTGGCGGGTCAGAAATGGTTGGACACTTTCACGGACCTCATCGAGGTCCTCCTGTGACCTCGATATTACCTTACCTTGCGAGGATTTCGGGGCGCAACGTCCCCGCGGCCCGATCTTCAACGAGGCCTCCTCCTTGCTAGACTGGTCAATCTATTGATGTGAATGTTAAACATATCAAATTACGACAGAACTGTTACTGCTTGTTGTAAATCAGGTTAAGTCGTTGACGGTAAAGGAATGGATCTAACTGGTAAACATTTGATAAATAGTAAACATTTGATAAACTGGTAAACATTTGATAAACTGGTAAACATTTGATAAACTGGTAAACATTTGATAAACAAACATTTGATAAACTGGTAAACATTTGGTTTGGTGGTTGGCGTCATTAAAGTCGACACTTGGAGTATCATCCTACGACCCTGTTTTTAACTAAGTGGAAGCAATTGTGTGTAGATAATTGCAGCGCGGACCCTTGGGTCAGCTGGTCCGTGCAGCGTGCACATCTCTGGCACACACATGGGTATGAATGAACGTGCTTGTAAGTTTGTAATGTGTGTTGTGTGTGTGTTGTGTGTGTGTGTGTGTGTGTGTGTTTGTGTGTGTGTGTGTGTGTGTGTGTGTGTGTGTGTGTGTGTGTGTGTGTGTGTGTGTGTTTGTGTGTGTGTGTTTGTGTGTGTGTGTATAGTATGTTTAGGAGCTGAGGTGTACATTGTCTGCCACAGGTGGCAGCACTAGGGGGGGGGGGTTCTGTCAGGTGAGTACCAGGTGTACAGGAGTTGGTAACATCATCAAAGCACACATTGGTTACGCCGGCGCGGGACAGCTTGCTGGCAGCGTAACACCTTGGGTCATAGCTACTTGTCAGCGAGGGGTAATTAACCAAAAAAATAAATTGTTATTATTAAAGGCAACTTTAGTTAGTGTGAGGTTGGAGGGACGTGGACAGCGGGACTAATTAGTAAGAGACCTGTGACGGCGCTGATAACGCCTCAGTCTATTATAGGTATAGGTTAAGTAATAATTGTATTTACGAAGCAATAAAATGCTTATCTTAACATACTAAGGTGGTTAGGTAAGGTCGGTGTTTTCTATGAAGCTTTTCAAGGTAAACTAAAATAATCACAATAAATTAGTATGTCACATATGCACTTATTTAATAAGTCAATATTGACTAAGAAAGTGCGAGAACGGGTTGCCTCAGTCACACGCTGTAACGCCGGTGGCTGAGCGGACAGAACACTGAACGCGTGATCCTGTGGTCCCGGGTTCGGTCCCGGCCGCCGGCGAGAAACAATGGGCAGAGTTTACTTCACCCAGATGCCCCCTGTTGCCTAGCAGTAAATAGGTACCTAGGAGTTAATCAGCTGTCACGGGCTGCTTCCTGGGGGTGGAGGCTTGGTCGAGGACCGGGCCGCGGGGACACTAAAGCCCCGAAATCATCTCAAGATAACCTCAAGATCTCCAGATAACGCGTCACACGGTGTCACTTGTTAAACGTCCAGCGAGGATCCCGTTACAGGTAAAGTGTGACAATTACCGTATGTAACTAATGTGCTGTCATATGTGCTAAGTAATGTGCTGCCATACGTCAGGCTGCGAGCAGCCGCGTCCAACAGCCTGGTAGACCAGTCCAGCAACCAGGAGGCCTGGTCGACGACCAGACCGCGGGGACGCTAAGCCCCGGAAGCACCTCAAGGTAACCTCAAGGTATGCTGCGTCAATGCTCTCCTGTTGATTCTCTTATGCAATACTTAGACTTGGTCGCCGTGTCGTTGCAATGAGAGAGATGAAGATCATGGCAAGAAGCATCATGGCCTACTGACCTCGCGCCTCTCCCAACATAAGAGTGACAATTTTGAGAAATTCCTGGCCGTGGGAAGCCTGGATGACACTGTGGGAAGGTGGTTGGTTGGTTGAGGCGAGTGGTGGTGACGGCAGGTGGTGTCTCTCTCTCCTCCCTCAGGTGGTGACGGTAGGTGGTGTGTGTCTCCCCTCAGGTGGTGACGGTAGGTGGTGTCTCTCTCTCCCCTCTCAGGTGGTGACGGCAGGTGGTGTCTCTCTCTCCCCTCTCAGGTGGTGACGGCAGGTGGTGTCTCTCTCTCCTCCCTCAGGTGGTGACGGTAGGTGGTGTGTGTCTCCTACCTCAGGTGGTGACGGCAGGTGGTGTCTCTCTCTCCCCTCTCAGGTGGTGACGGCAGGTGGTGTCTCTCTCTCCTCCCTCAGGTGGTGACGGCAGGTGGTGTCTCTCTCTCCTCCCTCAGGTGGTGACGGTAGGTGGTGTGTGTCTCCTACCTCAGGTGGTGACGGCAGGTGGTCTCTCCCCCTCAGATGGTGCTCCAGCCCCTGGAATGGAAAAAATTATCAGAGCAAGTGTTATATCACTACATTCAGATACTGAAAACCATAATGAAATAATGATAAAACTATAGACTGATTACGCTGGATATTCTCTCAAATCCTTTAATAAATGAATAATTTCGGCTGATGAATGACGAGGACAAGAGTTAAGGTTGAATACTTCAGTTGGTGGAGGAAGGGTGCCTATACCTGGAACATACCTGAAGAAGGTTTCTGGAGTTCTACTACTACTACTTCCGCTTCCGGCCTTGGGCCAGGCTCGACATGTGACAACTTGGTCCAACGGGCCGTTTCTTGGAAGCTTGAGAGATGTATATGTTAACGACGACGAATGCTAAGATACAGCATTAGTGCCTTGCCAGACCTCTCAGCCTGATGGCTGACCTCTCAGCCTGGTGGCAGACCCTCCCCAGCCTGATGGCTGACCTCCCAGCCTGATGGCAGACCCTCCCCAGCCTGATGGCTGACCTCCCAGCCTGATGGCTGACCCCTCCCAGCCTGATGGCTGACCTCCCAGCCTGATGGCTGACCTCCCAGCCTGATGGCTGACCTCCCAGCCTGATGGCAGACCCTCCCCAGCCTGATGGCTGACCTCTCAGCCTGATGGCAGACCCTCCCCAGCCTGATGGCAGACCCTCCCCAGCCTGATGGCTGACCTCCCAGCCTGATGGCAGACCCCAGACCCCTCCCAGCCTGACGCCAGACCTCCATCTCCTGTAGGTAGCGGGGGAGATGTTCACCACCTCCTGGGTTGCACCTCGCCTCGTCACCACCTACACTATCCTCCCAAGACCTAGCCTCGTTTCTTGTGGAGCAGTACCGACCTTTAACTAGACTGAAGGAGCTGTGGTAATTAAGTCTTACACACACACCCGCGCTGCATGTGCAATCTCTTCTGGTTAATGCTTAGTTGCAGGCGTTGCGTCTTGGCGTTGCCTGGTCCAGCCGGAACCTTGCGCCATGTTCCTTCTCGTTGCCAACGCTTCTGGTGTGTTTGTAACACGTTACAGACACGGTAACCTGTTGCACATGATCATGCTAGTACAATGGTCACTTACAAAAATAGTGGTTAAGGTAAGTAAGAGGAATTCCATCGGGCCAGTCGCAGACAAAATGTTTGAATGATTGAAGATTAAGCCACCCAAAGGGTAGCACGGGCATGAATAGCCCGGAAAGTGTTTGAGGGAGACATTGAGTATCTGCATACTGTAACAGTTACTCGTAACTTAGTTACTCGTAACTAAGGACATTATATACTTGACACTAGTGCATTTATTACAGTTTATGGTAATGACGGGGAAAGTAGTAGTAGGAAAATGTGATGTTAATGGAAAAATAGTTAGTGATGATTAGTAACGGGTAATTTATTATTGCCATCGTAAGGCCATACAATTCTAAGTAAATGGGATTTATTACTGTAAGTTGTATAACAAGGAGGATCAGAGTTGCGTTGGGCAATTAGATCCTTCTTTACCTTATTTTGGAATATCTTATATAATTCCGGTTCTCAAGGACAGGAAGTCTGTACGTAGGCTTATGATGGCCCCCCCCCCTTAGGTCAACCACTGTCCAACAGCAGGCGCCACCAGTCAGAGGACGTCCAACAGCAGGCGCCACCAGTCAGAGGAGACGTCCAGCAGCAGGCGCCACCAGTCAGAGGAGACGTCCAACAGCAGGCGCCACCAGTCAGAGGACGTCCAACAGCAGGCGCCACCAGTCAGAGGAGACGTCCAGCAGCAGGCGCCACCAGTCAGAGGAGACGTCCAGCAGCAGGCGCCACCAGTCAGAGGAGTCCAACACGTCAGTCAGAGGACGCAGCAGGCGCCACCAGTCAGAGGACGTCCAACAGCAGGCGCCACCAGTCAGAGGAGACGTCCAGCAGCAGGCGCCACCAGTCAGAGGAGACGTCCAGCAGCAGGCGCCACCAGTCAGAGGAGACGTCAGAGGAGACGTCCAACAGCAGGCGCCACCAGTCAGAGGAGAGGCAGCCACCAGTCAGAGGAGACGTCCAACAGCAGGCGCCACCAGTCAGAGGAGACGTCCAACAGCAGGCGCCACCAGTCAGAGGAGACGTCCAACAGCAGGCGCCACCAGTCAGAGGAGACGTCCAACAGCAGGCACCACCAGTCAGAGGAGACGTCCAGCAGCAGGCGCCACCAGTCAGAGGAGACGTCCAGCAGCAGGCGCCACCAGTCAGAGGAGACGTCCAACAGCAGGCGCCACCAGTCAGAGGAGACGTCCAACAGCAGGTGCCACCAGTCAGAGGAGACGTCCAGCAGCAGGCGCCACCAGTCAGAGGAGACGTCCAGCAGCAGGGGCCACCAGTCAGAGGAGACGTCCAACAGCAGGGGCCACCAGTCAGAGGAGACGTCCAACAGCAGGGGCCACCAGTCAGAGGAGACGTCCAACAGCAGGGGCCACCAGTCAGAGGAGACGTCCAACAGCAGATGGACGCGCCTAGCCAGCATTACACAGTGGGAGGAGCCAGCAGAAGGTGAGGTGAAGCAGAGGACACATCATCATCATCAGTGGTGGCGGGTGGAGGACCGTCAGCTGGGCAAGACGGGTCCTCCCCCCCCCCCTGGCACCAGACGTGTCCTACCCCCCTCCCCTGGCACCAGTCGGGTCCTACCCCCCTCCCCCCCCCCCCTGGCACCAGGCGCCTACCTGCTCTACTTACACGGCATCACTCACGCCATCTAACCAGTCATATATTCGTATTTGCTGGTAATTTTTTCATTATTGTTGTATTTCAAATCAATCGGATTGATTAGACGGAGGGATAATAAAGTACAGAATATTTTGTTCATGATCGGTTTACGAAAGAAAGTTCCAGGTAGCACGGGCTATGGTGAGCCCGTAGTGGACTTGCCTGGCACAGGAGCGGGGCTGTGCATTTGCATCTTTATCTAGACTAGAATGAGTCCCCCTTCTCCGAGCTTCCACCACGTGTCTAAGAGTCTGACAGCGAGCTCTCCAGGTCTCTTGTTAAGCATGTCTGGGCCAACTGGCCCTCCACTAGCCCACAGCCCAGTAGGACTAGCCCATACATATATTTAGCTTGACAACGTTTTGGGGATGCTGTTATTGGCTCCATCAGACCAAGGGGGGCCTTATGGACAGACAACAAAGGTGATCTGTCCGGATCCCACGCAAATGGGAGATTGAGCTCGTCCTCAAAATTCGAATACCTGCACATTTGGGATGCTGCTCCTAGCCCTGACAGTTGTAGCATTCTCACAAGTGTGCTACACTTGCATGTAGTGTTCCCATTGCTGAACCAATTATGCGCCTCTGTTATCCTTTTCACTACCGCCCACTGGATGAGTGTGGGGTACATAATGAATGTCCTAAAGTGTGGCCCAAACTGGGGCTACTTGTACACAATCTCTAGGATGCTGTTGGGATGCTGGCAGTGACATTGATTTATGTCAATCAAGATTTATTTTATTTCATCATATTTTATTGTTTATGATCTGGTTACCTCTACATGGGAGATGCCTCGGTGAGTGTAGTGGTAGTGGTGACAACATGGGAGATGCCTCAGCAAGGGTAGTGGTGGTGGTAGTACAGCTAGCCTCATCTACTGACATTTGAGTCGTCTCAGCTCGGCTTTCCTATGTGAGAAGTGGTAAGCACGTTTTGTAAGTTTAGAATTGGTTATTTTGATCGTACTGGCCTGAATTAGCCTATCTGACCTACTGTAACTTAGCATAATAGTCTGGATTTAGTAATTACATTTTCTATTCTTAAAAATCTTATTTTCCCTTCACTAAAAAAATCAACTACGTAAATTAGAGAAATTTGATGAAACGAGAACAATTGCATATTGAAAACTAAATTAATACGCTATACTGTCTCTCGAACTTGAACTTGAACAATTGTCATTTTGGAAATTCTATCAATTACGTGTTGGGTTGGTGGAGGCAGACTTGCTTGCGGCCAGTCGACCGCAGGCTTCACCACCAACCACTTTATTGCGGCCTCACTGACGGTTGCAAAAATCGCTAATGGACGTGTTTGCATCTTGACGCTGCCGGCGAGTTGACATCAACAACATGTACCGAAGCACAACACTCACTCTCTGGTGACCCCGAATGTTGACGGGCGTTCCTGGTGACCCCGAATGTTTACGCGCGTTCCTGGTGACCTCACACCGGACCCGCCGACCATCTGACCTGACATGATGATACCCGACGCTTCTCAACTGTTCCTCCCGCCTCCGCTCGCCCCAACTCTCTGGTCATATACCCATGGGGAGGAGACGACCGGTCAGCTGTTGGCACGGACCAACGCCGCTCTCCGTTCGACTTTCATACTTGGGGCTTTGATTAAGCTTCAGGGTCTAGTGGTGATGAGCTGCTGTGGTAGAGGTTGTGTTAAGCTGGGGGGGTGGGGGGAGGGGGGGGGGAACATTAGCATTGTTTGTGGCAGGTGAGGGATGGAGGGGGGGGGGGGGGGGAGAGGCAGCCGTGCAGAAAGGTGGTGCTGCTGTTGCTGCTCCACTTCTGCTAGGCTTCTCTCTGCCGTGCCACATTGTTTAGTCACGCGAGAGCAATTTTTGTTAACTTGTTCTTATGATAGTTTACTGCCCTTTTAGAGACTGGTGCCGCTACTCTGCCTGTCCTGGGTACGAGCCCTGGAGCAGAGGGAGGGAGGGAGGGAGGGTATTGACTGTAGAAAGTGACCCTTGTCAACCCGTAGACGAGAAATGAGCGTTGCTGGAAGTTGGTGATATGGGTTAAAATTACTTACGTCACCTAATCATCCATCCAGCAAGCAGCATAATCTTTCTTCGGGCATTCGCTTATTACCGGCGACTCAAACTTTGCTGGAATTAAAGAAATAAAGAAATCTTTAGAATGACACATGTTCTATCATGTTGATTCAACGTTCTGTCGTATCGACTTGCTAAACCATTTTACGCTAGTCAGCAGAGAATACCCTAGTTGAATAATTAGTGCTATTAAAGAATTGCCGTTACATAGATATGGCTCCTTGATGAGCAATTTCAATTCTGTAGGTAGATCTGTTCAGTGATCCGTGTGTTCTGAGAGAATTGGAGTCATGTGTCCCCTCTCAATGTGATAACGTAAAACTTACTTCTTTATTTGTTGGTTTATTTTATTATATGTTCTATATTGTTAAACAAGTTCAAGTATGTTTATTGAGATAAGAAAGAAATACATCTCAAAGGGATAGAGTAGCTTAGACTATTTCTAGTATTGTTAAACATAGCCTGTGTAAATTGATATGGCTTCATGTTATTCTAGTCTTTGCATCCTAACAATTTACCCAAAATTTGCTTGTCTATTTTAAAGAATGAAGAACAATTTTTATTTATATTACTTCTAAGCTGCATCACTTATGAACCCATCCCTGCCCTTGGGTGGCAGTACACAGTAGAAAGTTGTTTTCACATATCCATACATTAAAACATTGATTGTAACCATATGTGCTTCAGCCTACAGTTTAGACCTATTGTCTTATGTATGACCCTCTGTCCTGCGTGACAGTGAATACCAGGACTATCAAAATCCTCAGATTAGGCAAAATTGTAATTAATTTTGTCAATGAAGATGTTAATAATAATAATAGCCTTTGCAAGTGTTATAATTGAATTAGTATTGTTTGATTTAAGAGCAGCCACTTGAATTGTAATGTTATTCCTTTCATGTCTTAATATTTTGATTTATTGCAGCAGTGCACCAGTTCGATCTAACCATAAATGGAATACGTGTAATAAGCATTAAGGAGACAATGAATAAGGTGCTATAAATAGTAATGTTCTTGTAGAAGTAGCCAACATTGGGGTCTTAAATACGTTACGAACATTGTGAAATGCAAATACAGGGACTTTGTGCAGCCCGTCCTCGTCAATAATGTCAAATGTTCGTTAATACAGCCGTCATAGCCCGTTTATTAATGTAAAACGGTTTACACACGACTCATAACTAATGACGTTCGAACACTTCCGGAACAAGTGCTTCACTGACGAATTTTGTTCGAACCACAACGCTGTAAATGCTTCACCCACGTACTACAAATACAAATAATCGCCAATAGAGCCTAAACACCTAACCTATGCCTATATATATGCACAATATGCTAATATTTTATAATACGAATTTATATTTCAGAAAATTCCTGTTTTGAATTAACAGCATGTAAAAATTTATGAATGCGTTTGTGGGGTCGGCCGCTGGATGTAATGGACTTGAGTCGAGGACGGATTTTTGTAAATGCTTCACCCACGTACTACAAATATATATAATCGCTAACAGAACCTAAACACCTAACCTATGAAATGCCTAAATATGTACAATATGTTAGTATAAAATAATAATAATAAGAAAATAATAATAATAATAAATTTTTAGAAAATTCCTGTTTTGAATGAATAGAATATTAAAATTTATGAATGCGTCTTTGGGGTCGACCGCTGGTTGGAATGGAATTGGTCTGAGGACGGGTTGTAATATACTTTGACAAGTGACGGTACGGCACCTGGCCTGCTGTGTGCGGTGTGAATCTCGGGTATTAAATAAAAATGATCAATCCTGTAACATTTTAAGTTAATATTTTGTATTGTTAGTTTTGTACAGTAATGGTAGCGAGTCATAATTTATATGGCGTCGTATAAACCAATTACCATATAACCTTTCTATGGGGTACACAAATCCGTTCTCAGTTCCCCAGGAGCCAAGCTAGTAATAATAATAATAATAATAATAATTTATTTAGGAAAAGTACATACATAGTTGCAGAGTTACAGTACAAATATTGTTTGATTTCAAGATAGAGGTAGTACATACAATGCCTAAAGCCACTAGTACGCATAGCGTTTGGGGCAAGTGGATAACGGGTAGTGGGTACAATTCCCCGTAGTTACGACCTTAGTACATTATATCTCTAAGGAAGGAGGGGATGGGGGGGGGGGGCACGGGAGGCATCTCCCATCACGCAGGGTGCAGTCGCACCTCCACAGATCTCCAGTATCATCTATTGATACTGGTAATGGCTCAAAAGGGCCACCACTTACGGGCTATTCATGCCCTTGCCACCTTTTGGGTGGCTTAATCTTTATCAATCAATCAATCAGGATGGGGGGGGGTTGAAACTCAACGAGGTCATCTTTAATCTTCAATCCAAAAGAGCGGCTTGACAGGCCACACTCAAATACCCTCCGGGAGGTTGGCAGGCACACGCCCGCCGCCAGGGAAGGTAAAGAGGAAGCTTTGGAAGGGAATATAGGAGAGCGCGATGCCTTAATGCCCGACTGACGGGAGACATCTCCCGTCACGCAGGGTGCAGTCGCACCTCCACAGATCTCCAGTATCATCTATTGATACTGGTGAAGGCTCAAAAGGGCCACCACTTACGGGCTATTCATGCCCGTGCCACCTTTTGGGTGGCTTAATCATCATCAATCAATCAATCTTAATGCCCAATATAAGTTGGGACGTAATTTGAACTGCTGGTGTCCGTGGGTGCTTTG